ACATCAAAACTATCCATTTTAATGCAATAGAAATAGTTTTTATGATGATAATGGTGACAAGGACGAAAGTTTTGGGCCACAGAAGCTGCGAGAAAGAATACTGACATTTAGCTGAAAAATCATGAAAGATATGATTCATAATAAGATTAAAAACGATACCGATACGCTAAATATTTGATTCTTATTTGGGACATGACACGTGACAAGCGATCGGTGACTGCTACATTTCCTGAGATCTCTGCGACATTAGAGACTAAACATGGGAAAGTTGTATGCATGCGTGTTTGTTTATCTACCTAAATTGGTGACTACTTGTGGGAAGAGGTTGAATGCAAGACAGCGATTTTTTATTTGAATGGAATTGTTGGACAATCTGTTTGTGTTGTGCAATTAGAGCGTACATACATGTGTATGCAAGAATATGGCACGCAACGATGCTATAGTTGCCATCTGGAGATGCTCAATTTGATGACCACCCAAACCCAAACGCCATTCGCTTTCTCCAACACACTTGGATTGCACCTTCTTCAATTAGCCCAACAACTCTCGCTTTCCAACCCAAAGCATTCCTTCACTCTTCAATGGAAAACTTCTTTAATTCCTTTCATCAATTCAATCTCCGCCATACAGGCCTTTCATTCTCCTCATTTACTCATTAGTGCACACATTTTCCCACTACGAGTACACCAGTACGAGTTGCTCTACCCTGATACAAAAAATAAACTACTTTTACATACTAAATTATTTAATTTAATTGATAGTTGAATCATAATTTATAATTGTTCACAATTTAAATTATAATTTTATTGTATATTTTAAATAATATAATACAAAAATTTTAATTTTTTTATTTTTAATTTTAATTATAATAAATAAATAAAATAAAAAATGAGCCAATGAATTAAATAACATGGACTGGATAAGATTAAAAATGTGAACCTAATAAACCAGATTGATAATAGACTAATTGATTAGTTTCTTAAATGAAACACGTTTTACCATTCCTAATAATTCATAATCTCCTAACATGCCAATATGTTTCATAATTTAAATGTTTTAGTGAAAGACTAAATGAGAATTATAAAAATTGAAGTCATCAAAAGCATGGACTAAAGTAATCCAATGTTTTCAATGTGTTTAGTGCGTATGAGAAATGCAAAATAAACGAGAGATAATTAATAATAGATTTGAATAAATACAAAATAAACTTAGTTATTAGATACGTTTTCATCGTTCTTCAGCTTTTCCATAGACTTATTTTTCTAAACTAAACAAACCCGTGAAATTCAGTTGCAACTTGTTTATGTTTTCTCTGAAGTGGTTGCTGCTCGATTAATTATTATATTTTATCTGTGTATTATGTGAACCCATGAGAGAAAGATAAATAACGCAAGAGACGAATCTGGTCATGTTTAACATAATTAAGCATGTATTTTTCTTTATAACATGTCGTGATCATATTAATCAGTAATATGCCAAAACGATAACTTTTTTCTACGCTATACGAATTGTAGCAAAGTAGATTTGTGTTGTGTTTTCGATGCGTAGAACGGAAGAGAAAGTCATGCATGTATGTATTAGATGTAATCGAGTTTGTTACATCACGAATTTAGCATAATTGAAGTAATAGGTATGGTGGTTGGGTTGAGGAAAACATTGATGATATAATTAATGGATGATGTTTGTAAGTTAGGTAATGTGACAATTACTCCACGTAGGAGATAGGTATTTAATTTGTATATAAGAATTGGGTGAAGTTACGATTGCAAAGCATAAAGTATAGGGTCGTAATTAATCCGATGATTGAGTTGAGTGTTTAGAAAGGAATTTTATTATATTGGGAAGTGAGTTAATATGATTAGAGCAGAGGCATAGTGCTTTCCACCAATGATGACAAAATAATAAAAACCAAGGATTATTGTTGAAATGAATACCATTTAAAGGCCGACAAAGAAGCCACCATAAGACATATGTCTTTAGCTTATCTAGGAGTATTACGTGTGTGCACACGTATTATACAAAACACTAAATCATAACATCACACCACCTCAACTAAACTTCCCAAGACTTTTTCACACACCTCTTGTCATTCTCAATCCACAAATCCCTCTTTTTTACTCTTTTTTACTTTTCAAATATGAATCCACTTCCCATCATACATGCATCTTTCCCTCTCAATTCCCTTTTTCTTTTTAACTCTTTTTTTTTTATATATATATTTCTTACAGATTTTCAGTTTGCTTTCTATCGATAAATGTCTATCGAAAGGTTACTTGTTACTCTATTTGAATTTCATTCCTTATTAAGTTAATATATTACAAATAACAAAGTCAAGTTGAGTTCTCCTTTTTTTCTAATGTCTCGTATGAGGATCACGAAAGATGATTCAAGCCATTACGATTGAATAAATGACTTCTGCTATTGACGGAGAAGACTGTTACCAGAATAATGAAAAGAATCAAAAGTGTGATGATATATAAGAACGTATAATGAAGAAAATGAGAATGCTTAAAGTGTTTTTTATTTTTGGGTCGCGGCTTTATCACGCTAATTTTAGGCAAGGGTAGCAGTGTCCATGGAACGGGTGGTTCAGCAAATTTTGGGTCATGGAACATGCTTAATTAATTTTCCGTCAAACTTAGTTATGAATGCATGAGAAAGTGAACCACATAAATTTTTAATAATTAAAATTTTATTTGTCGGATTGATGATAAAAGGAAGAAATTGACTTGTGACCGGTTCAATTGTGAATTTTTGTTTTAGAAGCTACATTTACGACTAGAAATACTCAACTGGAAATATCTAAATTTTGGAATAGCTTTCACACTGTTTGGGTCATGGCGTAATCAGCGTAACTTGTAAAATTGTTGGTCGTGGAGTGTAGAAGGAGAGAGTTTGTGGGATGTGATTATGACGATTTCAATGGTTAAAAATGGCGTATGAAAGTGATGAGGACGACGACTCTCATTAGTAGTTTCCAGGAACTTGTCTCCTTTTCCGGGAAACTCTCTCACCATATTTATTGGCCCACCTCATTCTCAATCATCACTCCAATTTCAATTCAATATAATTTCTATACGTTTTTAACTCTCCTTGCTTTTTTTCTCTTCCATTCTTGCACTTACTTTACCTTATTTTTTTTATTTATAGCTTACTCCCATTTAATATTTTATATTTCAAAGAAATTGTGAAAGAAAAAAAAAACTGTACAAGTTAATTTTTTTTACACAATCACTGTACAGAATAGTTAAATATTATAAATAATAATTGTGACGATAGTCTTATCCCGTCTCTGTTTTTCAATGTTGAAGCGTCCAATTCCAATCATGATAGCGTGGCTAGAACGTATATAGCAGTGGACACGTGATCGTTACCTTTCATTTTGAGCAGTTGGGAACACGATATAAAATGACAAATGAATAAAAAAAGGTTTGCACCTATTAGAAAATAATATATAAGTAAAAGCTATGCTTTATTGTTTATTTTTGAATATTAAATTTACTAGAATAAATTATTAAATTAAATAAAATGATAATAATAAGTACTATTTTGATGGAAAAGAGATGTGAGAAAAGGGAGATAGAAGGACTGACCTTGAAGGAAAATCTCATGTTGAGATTTTGAGAGAGACCGGCCCATTGGGTTATCACGTGGAGGTGTGACCCACCAGTCCCCTTAAAGGTAAAGCATCTCACTACACCACATCATCTACATAATAGATTCTATCTCTATCATCACCACAAATTAATACTAAATCTAATTCTGAAAATTCAATTTTATTCCATATTTATTTTCAAACTACACCTCAAAAATATATTATTATTATCTTCACTAAAATTCTCAACCAGAAACCAAAAATTAAAACAGAAGAATTGTACACACTTAAACGAAACTGTATTTATTTTTAATTCTCAGTTAAAGATAACCAATACAATAATAATAAAAATATTTAGAGACAAAATAATGAATAGTGATTTTTTTTAGCTGTAGTGTGATATTTAATAAATTAGTCTGGTAATTGTTTTAGAAGAAGAATGTACTTAAAAATTTGAAAAGTAGCTTTTTCAAATTTTGTGATTTGGTGGTTTTTGATAGTCAGTGAGAGAGTCGTTTGTTTCCACACATGCTTAATCAGACCTCTTTGGTCATTCTCTCTCTCATTCGGTTTCTCCTTAAGCAGCTGATTTTCAGACAAAAACACGTGAGCTAACTTCCCCCTCCGCACCTTCAACCTTGGTTAACTTAATAATCCTACCCTCCAACACAAACTCATATATATATATATATATATATATATATCTAGCTTTTCAATATACCTTCCCTCCTCCCCACATGCATTAAAAATATTAGGTAGCATAGGAGCTATTACATGATTGCAATGACTTCTTTTTCCCTTTAGGGTACTACATTAATGTTCAACTTCATCTTCCATTATAAGAGTCAACATACATACACTATATTTCAAAAATAATCATAAATTATTTTTATGAAATCGAGCTAAAATAACCTTTAGTGATATCATTTTCTATAGCCACGACTAGATCAATTAACCGCGTCCGAGTTACTCATTTCTATTTTTTACTCATTCACAGATATTGCATCATATGACTCATTTCTTTTTCTTCGGGGCATTATATTTTAGTAGCGTTTTAGTCAAAGACATATAATTCGGATATGGACTTACAATAAAAAATGTTTTCATGCGTACACACACGCGCACCAACATCACACATGTAATGAACAATAAAATAATAGTGATTCATTCCTTCATACATATGGATGTCTTCTTCTATAACGATTTATAAACATACAACAAAAGGATCAAAAGTAAAAAGTAATTTTGATCAGCAGTTACAAATTTCTACAGTATTAGTTAATTACACCCTTAACTTTTCACTACCTGATGTAGTAATCCATCGTACGTATCCTATCCCCCAACCAAAAAAATACAAAGGTTGCCGGGAAACTCTTCTTTCGTTGTTTTTTTTTTTGTTTTTTAACGACAAAAACAAAACTAAAAACCTAATTCATAATAAGAATCAATCAACATGCTGCAGAAGGATTGGCGAAGGGGTTGAAGAAGTGAGGTTTAGGAGCCATGGAGAAGGGTGACTTAGTGGAAGCGCCGCCGCCTACCCCGCCGCCGAGCCTCTCACACGAGGGACACATGGTGAGGGTTGCCGCAGACATAGGCATGTACAAGGGCTGAGCCAGTTTCAGTGCCTTCAGCTCTTGCAGCTCCTTCTGTAACCTTCTGTTCTCGTCTGTTAATGTTTCACAACACTTTTTTAGGAACTCGCAGTCCACCTCTGTCTGCTTCAGCTTTGTTCTGCAACAAGGAAACAAAAAATATTAATCAACAATTTCAAACATTGATATAACGTATGACCCCTTTCAATGATACGAAGATGCATAACATATAAGGTTTTAATCAACCAAACATATTTACCTGGCTCTCCGGTTCTGGAACCACACTTCGACTTGTCGAGGCCGAAGACTTAACTGCTTGGCCAAAGCTTGCTTCTGTTTCTGTAACCCCAATTGAAGACGACAATATGAGTCACGATATTAAAAGTCATGATATTGATGCATGTAGGAAAATAATAAGAGGGAGAATATGATTACAGGATTGAGGGTGCTGTGTTGTTTGAAGCTTTCTTCAAGCAAAGCGGACTGTTCTTTAGTAAGCCTAAGTTTCTTCCTGGCGGTGGTGCCGTCTTCTTCTTCGTCGCTGGCTCTTGATGAAACCCTCTCCGTCTCTGTTGCATCCACCTCTTCACAGCTGAGATCCCTCTCCCTCTTGACCCTTCCACTGGAGAAGGAGGAAATAGCACTGTGAGGTGATGTCTGTTCAAGAGGGTCCTCAGAGGAGAGTTTGTTGTGTGGTATGTTTCTGGGGAGTTTCACCACCTGCTGCGGATAAGTTTCGCGGGAGAGGCCCAACGTGAGTGAAGGCTCAGGCTCTGAGTTAGATGGAGAGATGAAAGAGGATTTAGAGGAATAGGAGTTTGGCCTGTGAGTGGTAAGATGGTGATGATGAAGAATGGATGGTGGTGATGGAGTGATGATATCTTCTGGGGTGGATGTCAAAGCTAATCCTAGAATAAGCTGAAGGCCTGAGTCGGTGGGATCCTGATGAAGACCCATCATAAGGTGATGGAAGGAGTATGTGTGGGAGAGGAGGAAGGAAATAGAGAGTGGTTTAGTTTAGATGATGATTAGATGATGGTGTGGTTTATAAAGTGTGATGGGAGGTAGTAGAAGGGTGTTTATTGAGAAGAGAGGGAGGGGAAAGAGAATGAATGTGACTTTTTGTGGGGGCAAAGGGTGGGTGGGTGGGTGGCTATGATTATTATTAATCAAAGGGCGGAATGAGTAGTGAAAGGAATATGGGTGTTGGAAATTATGAGTTCTATATCTGTTGCATAGGTTGACCATTATGTGCCCCACTACTGTTACCTCCATTATGATAGCAGACAAAGTTGGATAATCTTTCTCTCTGAGATCCTATATTGCTATACAACCCTAACATCTTCACATGCCAATGCCAATGCAAACACACATCAAGAGGGTGGGTGATTCGCTTCCCTTCGCCACCCACACACGTACCTATATTACAATACATAATTATTGCCACACTTTAATTCCTTTCCCACATATGCTTCCCTGCGTAGTATGTAGCAGCTTCACTTTACATTGTCCCAATTATTGGCCCCCTTTACTCCCACTTTACTCCTGTCCCACCATTCCTTATTTCGTTTTTTTTTCTTTTATTATTATTCGTTACATGAATGAACATATATGTAAGTTGGAAAAAGGTAGAGATGGATTTGTGTTTTCCATAATTGTAACAGACCCGCATGAAGTGTCTCCCACTCCATGCCGGGGTTAAGCAGTTAGAGATAAGAGATGGGTAGCATGTCATATATGCATGCACCTTGCTTACCAATACTAGTTGCTAATGAAGGAGGAATGTGAGGGATGGTTGGAGGGTTTTCTCTTGCTTATTATGAATAATGTGGAGAGTAGAAAGGGATGTGCAGGATTTGTTAATTTCCAAAAGAAAAGAAAAGTAGGTACAAGACAGAAATGGAGTTTCAAAGAGTTATAATGGCGCCAGAATATGATTCATCAACAAGAATCCGGATCTTTGCTTAACTAGAAAGTTGATGTGGAGTGTTCCGGACCTACTTCTCTCTATTAGTACTACAAGCACTTCCAATAATGCATTGTCGGCGATGCGTTGCACCAATTGCCTCACTCATAATTCATGATCAACCTATAATATTCATAGCCCTAGCTACCAAATACATAACGCCGTTAACCCCCACATCCCATTTAATGCCACTGCTTCTTCTTATTACTAATTATTAATATTCATTCGACCTATTCAGCTAATTAATTTATTTATTTATTCATCTAATTTTAAATTTCTCATCAGTATGCATTCATGCACGCCTGCTCAGCTACCGCCTTTCTTCAAATCGATGTCTTACCACCCTACGTTCTTGATTCACCACCGTAGTCGCAACTTATAGCCACTACTGCCTGTGTTTATACACCACCTTACAGTTAAAAGGGAGAATATCTTTAACTCGTTCAAGTTGAATTACAAATGAGAGAAATTTCATTCAATTTTTCTTTTGCCACATCAAAGATGTATCTGGGTAATGATCACAGGTCACTCAAATATGGTGATAAAGTAAATGGGTAATGTTTATAAACATGATAAAAAAATTCAAAATGCATTTCAATTTGGTTGGCTCTCTTTGGTAAAGTAAATGGATATTTTGCTAGTGGGCGGTCTTATTATGAAGAACGGCTTATTAATTATTTTACTTATCATCATAATGCTTTCTATTGAGCAATTAATTAAGGTCAATACATACATATATAAACACACACACATACTCATTACTTTATAAATTAATTTAGTGATTAGTTTATAAACTTATGCAATACTTTGTATTAGTTTTATTAGTATTTCATAGCATAAAGTTTAGACCGGACCAACATTTATATATTTTCAGTAATTGATTTAATGATCAGCTTATTAACTTATACTATGACAATAAAACATATAATTATAGATAGAATGATCGATTTCTATAATAGTTTTTATACTAAAATGTATAATGATGGAATAACTGTCTCTAAATCAGTGTTATATTTACAACTTTCACAATTCGAATAAAAAAAAAGTGGCCTCGCAGTTAGAAAAAATAAAGAAGTTAATTCGTTTTCTTAAAGATTTAAAACGTTCATTGGACTTCTTGGTGTCTATAAATAGATAACAAATAAAAAATTTAATATTTTTTAATACTTGTTTAGCCCCTAATTTAATTCTTTATTTCATACTATAGTGGACTAAAATGATAAGTAAACTCGATCCAATTTGCTGGTGTAATGTTGATTGTACTAGATCAGATTTAAAATAGATCTAGTGTATATATGTTTTCTAAGATGAGTTCAGATTATGTTTTGAATCCTTTGACTCAGTTTGGTTGTAAGATTTACAAGAAATACAAATTATTTTGCAATTATTATATATTAGTAGAGAAACTTATTTATTAAATAAAAAGCAATTTTATGACATAATAATATATAACTTAACTTAAGTTTATACCTGTTTCATTTTGGATTTAAATATGCATAAGGTTAAAGTGCATATATTAAATAAAGTGGATTTACTATTTTGATCAGGTAGAGTTTGCATTTAAATTAAATTATTATACCGAATCTTTGGGTTGGAATGATAGTAAATAGGGCCAACTCAAATGTAATCTGACATTAATGTTGGTATAGCTATTAAAAATATTTTTGCAGTGGAATAATGAATATTTTAGGTAAGAAGAACAACCATAAACTAATGAATTTTTTTTTATTGAATTTTTAGATAATCCAGATTATGAATGAAATGTAAGTACGAAAAAAAGAAAAGATTCTGATTGAAATGAATTTAAACATTATTATTATATTGAACCATGCCGACAAAAAACCCGAGTCAGCTTACATAAAAAAGAATAAGAATGCATTAACTAAGCAGTGTGTAGACGAAGGGACACCAAGCACGCTTCTTTTGTCTAACTTTATATGGATGCATCGTTCATTATTTATACCTCAAAATTATTTCAATCTCATCATGGATCATAAGGTCAAAACCAAAACAGAAATACTACCTTTACATCATATTAATAATAATTATCATTTCCCTTTTTGTTGCCTGCAACAAATTTCTATCATCCGCATGCCTGCTTAATTCCTTTTTTTATGTCAACTTCTTTATTACGACGTCGCTACCTATTTATGACGCAAGGATTACCAACTCTTTTATATTTGTTTCCCAAAAATTAAACAATGCGTGATTTTTTTTCTTGCTAAATAAAAATATAATCAAGAAAAAAATTATGTTCCGGTCTTGAGTAAATAAAAAAAGAATTACCCAAAAAAAACTCCAATTTGCCTAGAGGTATTCATAAAAGGTTATGGTTTTTAATCCCCTTTATGTATGTTTTATTTTTTGTTTGGTGGCTAATAAATAAATAAATAAACCCCATTTGTTAGAATTTATTAGAATGGGATTTTCCAGGTATTTTGTCAGTGAGTGGCTGAATACCAAAAAGAAAAGCAGACAATCAACCGTTGTTTTGTTTTGTGAGTCCAATCAAGGCACCCAAAGTGAATGGAATTTGACGTTGACACAGTGAATGAATTTAAATTTTAAGGCCGAAAGGCTGGAATTGAACATGATTTGATGAGGATTAGGATTGGTATTATTAGGGTATTTGTTCTCCCAAATTTCACTTTACGGGGTGATTGGCTATAATCATAATAATATTCATTAATGTGAAATATAGTGATGATCCAAGTGTTGGATTTAATCACATCAGCGAACAATCTGATTCCACGTCACATCCCCATAACAGAGTGACATGAAACCCAACAAATCACTGGCGGTGGTTCTCATGTCATCTTCACTAAATAATTTTGTTTTGCTTACATACCAAATTTTGTCTAAATTTTTCTTTTTTTTAATTATTAAAATCAGTTTTTTTTTTAAAAAATATGAATTGGTCATTTTCTCTAACAAATATGTTTTAAGAAAAATTGTTTTAAAAATTTATTTAATATCATATATATATATATATATATATATATATATATATATATATGTGTGTGTGTGTGTATGTATAAACACGTCTTGTAACACTCATAATTCAAATTTCAAGTAAATTAGTGTGAACTTATTTAATTTTTTTGATTGAAATATACGAAATATTATATATATGTGTGTGCAAAATAGCGAACGTATAAAAACAATATTGTATGTTTGTATTTTAAAGTGAGAAAAGAATGGGATAGGTGGGAAGTGTAGACACGTGGGGAGATGAGAAGATGTATGTGCGGAACAGACATATGGGTCCCACCAATGATTTGGTGTTGATGGCATTTGATTCCGTGAGAAAAAAAAATAAAGTAAGATGATTATGGAGCTTACAACTTATGATTTGAGATAAGATTTTTCTCATTTTTGTCTCTTCTTCCATTTTATAACTTATTTTATTTTACTTTACAATGTTAACAATGTTTGGGTTGGGATTAAGAAATCATATAATCCATTGTTTAAAACCATAAATTATAGTCATAGGTTTTATTTTGATTTACTTTTTCTTATTTAAATTAATCATTGATTATGTATATTATGATTTACATATGAATAAATAAATTATAATATATATGTTTTTCATAAATATGAAAAATATTTTATTACAATTCATTAAAATAAATACACAGTCTATAATAAATTTATTAAATAATATAATAAATTCTAATACGATTATATATGATTAAATAATCATTTAAAAAAATTAAATAATAAAAAATAAACAATTGGGAGTATGAAGATTAATTTTAATATAATAGTACTTTTGGGATTACTGCTATTAAATAAGATTGTCTTTTTTGGATTACTGCGTATTCACTATTTATTATTAGTTTCGATTAATTTCAGTTTTTGCACTGATTAAGTAAGGGTGGTTTGTGTCGACCTATTTTTTATTTACTATTTCCATGTCAAAGAATTTCTAGATTAGGTTTTGTGGTTTTTATTCTCTCTTAGAGGATAGTTTATGTTAAAATCCGTGTTCTGTTTTAACTTCTTAAGCATTAATTCGTTTGAGTCATTTATTTTTCTTGAGAAAAAAAAATATGAATTCATCCGTTTCCATATTTTTTCCTTGCTGTTTCTAGTGTGTCACTTGAACAAATCTTTTTACCATTGAATCAGTATCATTTTGTGATCATGCAACTCAAT